TATAAGCGGCCCGCCCTGCCAAGTAGTGAAGGAACATGAGCTCTAGAACCCTTAGACTCAGCCTCTAAGACCCTTACAACTTAGGGTTTAGGGCTTCGGCCCCTACTCAAACGTCGAGACCCGCCTAGGCCTAAACATCCAGAATCCTGGAATATCCTACTTCCTGAACCCTTCAGTTCCGAGGTGGCATGACGGGCCCCATGCGCTTCGGGAGGCCACTTTTCAGCTTTCTTGAATTCCCTTTCAAGCAGTGCACCACAGTCGCAGACCAGCTACTATTGGACAGGCAGAGTTACTGCTTTGGGGGCTTACGTATAAACAAGCCCCTATAGGTTCACATGACTGTACCAAAGGGGTTACAGGGTCATGCAGTTCTAACGTCCACTAAAGGCCCTAATTAAGCCAAAACCCAAGATCAACGCATTCCTGCAAATTTGTTGGAAGGTCAGTCTCTGCCTACCAGGGCTCTCGCCTGTCTTCTTTGAACGCCATCCAGGCACACCGGTTCAATCTCCCAGATCATCTGTAAGGGATCTACAGGCTAGCTACAGGGATGTATGTATAGGCTTTACTGCTAGGATTTATAGGGGATCTATCTAGATCTATCTATATATATATATAGGCTATGAATTTAAAGGCCCTTAACTCTAGACCCAAAACATTTTCGACACATGCGTAAGGGTTTAGGAGAGACCGCGGTTCAAGGTTTGGGGCTTTACAAGGTCTCGGAATGAAGATTCGGAGTTGAGGGTTTAGGGTTTATAGGCTTTAGGGTTTAGGTTAGGGTTTAGGGGTTAGGGTTTATAGGCTCTAGGCTTTAGGGGTAAGGGTTAGGCTTCAGGGTTTAGGCTTTAGGGTGTTTGGGGGAGTTGCGGAGGATTGTAAAGAGGTTTGCAGGATTTGTGTAGGCGGTAGTGGGCTCTGCGGGCTCTAATATGGTCCCCGCAACCATGACTATTTTGGTGCTTCTATATTATGAGTATAGTAAAATATAAAGCCCTAATCCAACGCTTCGGAATCGTGCGGGAGGGGAAGTCCCACATCCTAGAGGGTGTGGGGTCGTTAGACAAAGTCAAGACTAGTTTGGTTGGGTGGGCAGACGAGGGATCCCCATCACAACGAGGAAGAGTCCAAGAAACCCCGAACTCCGGAGCAAGGTTGGGGTTTAGGGTTAAGGGTCGGTAGCTGTTGAGTTTTAGTGGCCAGCTCTTTGTTCTAAACGGGGGGCTCCTGAAGCCAAGAACCCAAAGTACCTAAAGCGTTGAGACAGCCTTTCCCGAACACCCTCAGGCCGTTTTCCATAGATCAGTTGATAATATCACATTCTGGTACGCTCAGTTCTGAAGTGCCCAGACACAAACCGTTGTACAACCCCTATAAACTACGTAACAACCCTGCATAACCCTGTATTAGGGTTTAGGGTTTAGGGTTCACTGTATCAGTTTATCAAGATGTATCTTCCCTCTAGATCAGGTCAACCTCGTCTGCTACCCTCGAATCCACTTTGCTCTGCCGGGTATTGCCTGTGCACTCTGGCACAGCAAGGGCTGATGGTTCAGAGGTGTGGAGTTTGGCTTGTCCGGAACTTGGAGCATCTGGGGTAGTTCTCTATATTAGGGCCCCTGTTAGGCCCCAAAATAGTACGGCACCCTTATTGAAAGGACCCCAGTTCTCTGCCAGGACGGGGAGGGAGGTAGTCAAAAACGGGTCTACGCTCTGTGGTATTCGGAATCCATTAAGGTTTAGGGTTTAGGGTTCGAGCCTCTCCGCTCTCCATGAATCTAACTTCCAAGGTGCTGGGTAGGCAACCTTGTACTTCTTTGGGCTACGCACAACCCTACCACAACCGCAAAGATTGAGTCTTGCTTCGGCTATGGTACTCAGCCACCAGGGTTATCATTAGGATCTCTAGTTCAACAAAGCCCGAGACAACTGGCCCTAAACCCTGAACTGCTCTACAAACCTCCTGTCTTTCGGGGCCCTGATATGGCTAAAATGCGGCTAAACACCTTCTGGCAGTTACTGTTCTCATGCCTCAATTCCAGCACTCGTCATCCCTCTTTCTGTTACTCTTGAACTTTAAGGGGTATTGGCTTTAGGGTTTAGGGTTCAGTGTTTCACTTCATGGGCTTGGGTTTAGGGTTTAGGGTTTCTAAGTTGTATAGCACTAGGCTTTACAGGACTAGGTTGCCCAGTAGGACCCTTTTGCCCTTTTTGCTTTTGGGGTTCCCTTTTTCAAAACCAATTAGTAGGAAAAAGGACACTTTCTTTTAATTGGGCTACTGGGACACCAAGAGAATTTTTAAGTTGAAAAAAGCGCTCAGGGCAGCAGCGAGGATGGTGGCTACGGCGCCGCAGCAAAGGCGCTGACGGCTCCGCTTTGCTCTGTCGAGCAGCCCGGCCGAGCTTAGAGTCTAGGGTTCTAGGTTTCAGGGTTTAGGGTTT